CTTTTATTCATCAAACATCATAACACGCATATAATGTTTTATTATATCCTTGCACATTATGTAATACTAAAATTTTAGCACACTTATGCCTGTTATAAGTGCATAAAGCTCCATAATTTGCTTATAATTTAAGCATTATCTCTGACGAAAGTTTATTCGCGAATGTGAAACGATGAAATCACAACGGAGGTTTATTATCACGCGGTACATTTACCGGTATCCGTGTCGGCGGATGCTTGTAGACAACAGAAATATTTGCGGCTTATCCGCGGTCTTTTTTCTTCCGTCGCAGCGGGTGTAGTCCGACCGCAGGTATGCGAATAACCTGAATTTATGTAGCCACGTCCCCGGGTTAGGTAAATAGAGGGTGTACGCGGAAAGGCACTACCGTCGGCCTGTACCTATGCATAATCGTGTACTCATGCGGTTTTCATTACCTATAAACACCTGCTGCGCGCGTTTCTTGTCTCCTGCCTGGCTACTATGTTTCTTTTCCCCGATTAACATCGTCGCGACGTTTCATCAGTACATTTAATGCATTTATAACTAACGTCCTCTGGGTTCGCCCGTAGTATTAATTTATTTATAATTTTTCTTGATAAAAATCAAGATGTGTGAAATATGGAACAGAAACTTTGAACATTTGTAAAAATACATGTCACCTCTCTTTATCATCTTGGGGGGTGGTATCGAAAAATCTAGAAATTGATTATTTACTTTTGTAACTTCTCAAATGAAAAACCAAATCGGTACATCAACTATTCTAAGAGACAAGATAACAAGAGAAGTAGTAAGTAAATGTCCCAATCTCTACTCACTGGCGTGTTTTTTTTAATAAATTTATACAGTTATCGTAGAATTATAGAAAAATGAGCCAATGGACAGAAATTGGGATGTGAATACAAATTAGGATATTTACATTAATTCAACTAATTTGAATTCACGCATAAATTTAGGATACATTAAAATGATAATTTGATAAGATCAAACTAGTGTCTCGTATACAAACGTGAATAAGATCTACACATGCTTACGCGTAGCGGTATTCGAATTTAGCGATAGACACTTCAAAGGATTCGATTTTAATGAGGCAATCGCGAAGTCAGCAGAAGCTTCGTTGTTGCTACACTCTAGAAACGGCAAATGTGAACAGGTAATGTTTGTTGACCGAGTCGACACCGCGAAATAGGAATTCACGGATGTTTTACATAATGTGCCACTGCAACGTAAGTACGGGCTGTAACGCTTCAATGCGGTTCTCACTACAACGTTAAACCTCCCCGTCGGCGATATTACGGAAACTACTATTAACCGTATTACAGTTCCATTTCTGGTAAAGTATTTTGTACTTTGCTATTTATTGTAATAATCTGATAATTTGCTAAATTAGATTTCACATGTATTATATTTTACCTTGTTCCTTTGTAAACTGACATAAAAGTAATTATAATGAAACAGAGTTTCAATTATGATCACTAGACTGCGAGCTTTTATATATCATTACTGTTTCATATAATGTGTTGATGCAAGAATTGATACAATAAATTATATAATGTTTTAATAAATAGTTGATACAATAAATGATATAATGTTTTATTGAACGGCTGATACAATAATTATCCCATCTAATAATTTAGTTAATGTCACACCACTGTCTCCTATGATAGGTAAACTGATCTTTTTTTACAGCGTCTTTAATTGACCACTTCTTCCGCTTTTATCTATACCTATATCTACACGGATATACACTATGTAATTTGTAGGTGACGTAAATAAGCGTAATGTAAACTCGGTCTCGTTACGTTAATGGGCACCGACTTCGTTACGATCTTTCTACGGATTTTAACTAGATTAATTTAAATATTTAAATATGGATGGTAGAAGTAAAAGTTTTTTAAACATCTCGCTGGGCGGAAAATATAAATTACATGTATAGTCATACTAATTAAAAAGATTTGTAGAAGGATTATTGTAATTTCTTCGCACATCGTTAATTGATTTCAATCTAATTTATTATTATGCATGTAAATCTTCAATATGTGTTAAACAACATTTTATTACAGATCTCAGTGAAAAATTAAAAACAGCAATTTTTACTTTTCAACGAGTTTTAATTCCTTTGATGTTTTCATTCTACATCACATAGAAAATTAATCCCTTCGATATTTCAAAAAGCCTTCAAATTGTATGAAAAGGTTATTCTGTTTCAAAGAACGTGCGAATACCGTTCACAGCTACTGGTATACACCTTTGTATCTATTCGATACTTTCCATTCCCTTATTCGTCGCTTCATCTCGGGGAATGCGACAACGGAAGCGAAGCCCAGTTTAGCCTCGCTTACGCATTTTCCTGGATTTTCACGACTTCACGAAATCGGAGTGGCAAGCTAGTCGTAGCGTAAGAAAATCCACGCGGCAAATCAATTTTGCACGAACCTTCCCGGATTTCCAATGATTTTTGACGTTCCGGTTCCGGAGAAGCTCCGACCGGACGATGCGACGCGGGAAAGACGAGGAGGAGTATTCGAGAGCGAAGACTGGGACGAACGGTCGGATAGGACGCTTCCGTGGAGCGGAAGAGAATTCGTTGCATTATTCAACGGGGTGAACGTAGAACACACGCCAGACGGGAAGAAGAAAACGTTTCTTATTTTTGCAAACTCTGCTCCCAGTGTCAGGACGACATCGGGAATTTGTCCTACCGACACCTACGATAGGAACTATGAACCGGTAGTGTCTGAACCTTATCATTAGACAGCCTCAGAAGAATGGGTTGCACTTACAGAAAAATTGTACGCATGGTGTCCCAGAAATTGTGGTGCAACCACGAAAAAGAATAACATAGAACGTCATTTATCCAAACTAACTGACAAATAAATTCATTCGGATAAATAATTTTTCGGACAATCCTTTTGAAAAGATGAAGTTTGTGAACCATCATAAATGGACTCATAAATAGTTATTTCAAATGAGACAAAAATAGTTGGCGCTTAGCGAATATGGGTTCCATTTATGGTATTTCCTTGCTTAACGGAAATATCAGAAGCAGGATGCTGAATTATTGTGAATATACGATGAGCGGGCATTAACAACTATGATAAATACACGGTACGTTTACGTAGGATTCTAATAATGCGAGTAGTGCGATCACGCCTACTGCGATAAATCAGGGTAGGGAGTAGTCCGTACGCGACCAGTAAATACGTATAATGCATATTCACACAGTTTTACCCCCTCAGGGTTCTGGTCGGTATGCAAATAAACGCGGTGACCGACTGTTGTGTATGGATGCGCATGCAGAATGATGTATGTACAAGTTCTTCAACTGATTACATTACTGGTACCAGTAGGTACCCATGGATTTCGCAAATACTGCATTTATTAAATCATACTCGTTCCTTATTTCATTGTAATGTTAGGTCAGCGCAAAAGTTCGTGTTTGTTTTTTATAAGCCGGTCAGATCTCAATTTTGGTTATTCTTATAGTCGCTGAGTAGTCGGGGTTCAATGCTCAAAACAGGGTAGGAAAGGGAACATTTGGGATAGTCTGAATAGACAATTAATACGTAGTAGAGTATAAAAATTGAACATGGCCAAATGAAACATGGCGCTTGAGATATTTATTGAATTACCTGCTCAATCTAATGGTGCTTTTCGTCTCGCGGACCATGAGTGCTCGTTCCCAAAAATGTACAGCTTCAGGTAAAATAGTGTTCTGAAACAAATGAAAAGACACATTTATTCAATTTTCATTTGTTGAAATAAGCATAAGTCAATTATTTATTCTTGTATATATGTAACTATAAATTAGACTGCGGATTTAATGCATTTCTAAAAAATAAATATAAACGCTACATGTGATACATTAAAGTATACAAAATATTAAAAGTGAATACATATTGCAACAATTTAACGATAAAACGAATATTTATTTGAAATACATTTTTAGATTGATTATCATGTTTTATTTTTCATACAAATCTGTAGTTTAACTCTAATTGTCTTTATATAGTTTAATCTTTTTATTCAATTCATGTATTCACGGAATGTGAAGAAAGATTAAAATACTTAGTATAACAGAAATTTTCATCAAGTTTCACAGACCGTTTTTCCCATCTGTTTAAATCGCACGACGCTTTTCTCTTATTTTCCTATTCACTTCTCCAGCATCTCAATTTGAATTCCGTTCATTTCCGCGAGCCTTTCTTTTTTCTCTTTCTACTGCAAGAAAAGAATGTTCCGAAGCGCGTCCAAATAAACAGAATGCGCTGTATATTCCATTTAGCTTTATATTGTTTTTCCATTGGGCAATAATACCAGCGGTATGACTGCATGGAATGGCCAGAAATTTTTTCTTTTTTGGTCTCTCTCGGGTAACATTGATTTCTGTATACACAGGATTTGTACTCGCGCACTTTATCGCGTTCTTGTTTCAGTTATTCTATACCCAAACTATATTTTTCTATGTTTTGATTCTTATGTGATATAATGCTTAATAACATGTTTCATATATACGTGGTGGGCCATATAATTGGAAGCAGTTCGAATTCTTTTAAAGTAATAGTTTTTATAAAAATTGTTTCAAATGAAAGTTGTGTGATATTCCTTGAAATTACACATCTTTTATTTTTGATATTTTTTAATTTTTCTTATGAATCTTTAAAGGACACATAAAAATGAAGCTATATAGTCTTTTAAACAAAATTATATATTTTTGATTACACAGTTTGATCCAGCTTGTCATTTTCTATAAAAAAGTATTAACTTGTTTCTATCAAAAACCATTATTTCAAGAGATATTCTGATTTATTGGAATGGTGTAGCCGATATCGTTGTTATAACGTTCAAAGCAACTATTTGAAAAAAGTTGCTGTGTTACAGCCTGTTTCTGCTGATTGGTACAGAGATTCCGGTCAATCGAGATCACTGTTTATTTGGTACAAGCATTGAGGAACGAAAACAAAAACTAGAATACAATACAATTTCATTTCACTTATTTAAGACACTGCTGTTCTGTTGATACAGAGTTTGCTCGTAATGTGTTGAACGAAATCTATTGTATTATCCGATGGGACATCAATATTATTTTATGTACTGCCATTAGTAATATATTGAGCACGGATACAGTTTCGACGTCGCAGAAAGGGCGAGAATTGAAGATTATCTGAAGAAATATCTATCTGAAACACTGTTTCAAAATAACTAAAAAGGAAACTTGACGATTTACGTTGATTTCATGACTTTTCTCAGCTTATTTTCACAGAAATATAATTATTAATAAACTAGTACTAAATTAATTGTGTATGCTATTTTTATAGATTAATGGAAAGTAAAATAATGTTAGAAGACATTTTTTTTAGTATAGGGATTAGGCACTTCAAACTTGCCCACTTTTTTACCTTTTCATGAAAGGGTCAGTTTTTCTTAGAGATACAAAATATACATACATAATACAGTTTGTTTGCGTACTAAATAAGTAGTCATTCTGTGAATTTCAAGTGACATTATTAGAAAAGCTGGGTGTTTTAATTTTGTTCTAAAAATCCACAGGAACATTTTACTTGATAGAATTGTATTAAATTCACTGAGACTAATGCAAACATTAAAAGGACAAATTCGTCGGAATCTCTGTTATCCAGTGGACAAGTTTCCTCTTTACTTTATTTTCAGAGTAAAAATCCGAGAGAAAGAAACGGGTGACATTACTTCCGACTGTTTTAAACAAACGATCGTCCGCCGAGGGTAAAGGGAGTTAACGTTGGAACGAGCGCACGTCATTAATATCGACTTAATGGTAAACGGCTGATAATTAAAACGGAGCCGAACAAATGGTAGGGTTTCTTGAACGTGGAACGTGAGAGCGCTTAATTTCATCGCCTTTAATTATTTTTCGCCGATCGCCTATTGGAGATTGGTGTGTGTTCCTTCGTTAACAGGTTTACCGATCCATGCTATTACGACCTCGTTCCCGTCAGACGTCAACGAGGGATTGAAGTTCATTAACGGTAGAATGAATCGTATGCGCTGAACTACAAACTAAGTACACGAATCACACTTCGGCTGGTATCGTTTCAATGTTATTAACAGTATGGAATGAATCTTGAATTTCCTTTTAATCATTCAATAATTTAATAGACGCGTTGATGAACGTTACGACGAATTAAGAGGAACAGTTGATTCAATTATGTCTCTCATGTTAATAAAAAAATGTTATTTAAAAAAAAAAGTGTATTCCAATAGATCTCTTAAGTTCTTTTATTCGTAATTTAAACTACTTTTATAATAAATTCATTTTTTGTAATTTTAGACTTAGAGAGTATCTGACATTTTATTTTAAGAATTATTTGATCAAATACAAAATAGAATGAAAAATGATTTCAAATAAACTCCAAATAATGAATAAAATAGGGGAACATTACATTTGAATAAAATAATCAATGATCATTTCAAATAACGTGCATTCAGATAAGGTAAAATTTATTTCCAAGATTATTTTTCAAATAATTCATTTGAATAATCCTCAAACCTGGTTATTTTATAGTAGATATTTAGAGCACAATATAAAATATATAAATAAAGATAGGGTGAAATGTCCAAATAATTTTTTTTAATTTTTACATCGCTATCTGTAAGAAGATTACTATTATTAAAGATCGTAGGCGAGAAAACCGAGTGGGTAGGAAGAAAAGAGGCGGCCGGGCTTTATCGAGTTTTGCACGGTCAGTTAGATACCAGTATTAAATGCAAATGCCGGGTTTTATTTAAATTTTAGATGCAATTAGATTCATTTACTTTCACGGCCGGCAATTATTCGGCTTGCAGGAACTGAAAGCCGAACCTAGATATTCGTAGGTATCTCGCAGCGAAAATTTTCTGAATAAATCTGCCGGGGATGGGGTATACAAGAATTCTAGAGCTAAACCACTGATATAAAAATTTCAAGTACCTTGATCGATACTATCTTGTAATATCTTCTGTTAAAATCGTAATGCCTTTATTATAAATCTTTTAACGAAAATTTTAATAATTCAAAGGTCAGGAAGAAACAGGAAAATGAAAGGATGCAAATTGAGATATGTCAAATGGGATATAGTTAAATCATATACATATTTAGGAGTTTCTTTTTGCACCTCGGGTCTATTTAACCAGGTAACTAATTTCGTCGTTGGTAAAGGGAGAGTGGCAATGGGTACAATTTTCAGACCGTTGATAGGAGCCAAGTAGGAGGATGAGAATGGGAAGCTGAGTCTGTCTCATGCAATTGTAACATCGTGTGTTGATCAAGACGGTGTTGTATGGAAGTGGCATCTGGGACCTCAGGCCAGTTGTCGAGAGAATTCGATGTCTCGTTGAGGACTTAATTAGATTCGATACAGGAGTTCGCAAATTCGAATAATTAACAATTGAATGATATTTAAGAAAATTACAAGAGCATCAGTACAAATAATCCCAATACAGTAGAATCTGTATTATATGAACTATAATTGGGGGACAAATGTGTTCATGTAATAGAACTAGAATTATACGTGTATTTAAGAGAAAATGAAATAAAACGAATATAATTCGTTCATAGATAATTTCTTAAAATATTAGATCGTAAAACCAATATTTGTCATATCATCAAATATAAATTATTTCTAATACAATTATCCTAAGTTTCACTTGATTCATAATAGTAGACAATGAGAAAAAATGATATACGATTTTTGACTTTTGGGAAACGTCAATTTAGGAAGCAGAAATTATGATTAGACTGCATTAGGGATGAAGACTGGCTCTTTAGAAGGTCTCCGGACGGGCTTTAATTAGTGGTAAACATGCGAAATTGATGGACGAGGTTGATATCGACGTAATTGCGGCAGCTTTTCCTTCTCCTGATATACATAGATATATTCCGCATGTGGTAATTCGAAATGGAGCGTGGTAAATGGACGCGCTTTACGTCGTATCAAATGTTACCGTGGCGTCGTCGAAGCCGGGTCTAATGCAGTACGTCGCGTCGTCGCGGCCACGCTGCCGTACGCGCCAAATAACCGGAAATTACCGGGCGCATTTCAATCAGAGCACCCGGCAAGTTTCGAACACACGGGCCATCGTTTACTCCGCATAATAGCCGGCCGTATGATAATCTCGCGAATCGGAGCCAGGGCGAGCGGCAAGGGTGGGTTCCGACCAGCCCTGAAAACAGATTGCTCTGTTCTACGGCAAACCTCTCTCCTCTCTCTGTGAAACGGCGACGATCGATCGTCAAACACGGCGAAAAGGCATATTTAATCTGTTCACTCTGTATTAGCGATGGCTTCTAATGCTGCGGATTCAACTTACCCGAATCCGTTAAGCTCTTCGCCTCTATATTTATCTCATTATCACCTGTTATTCGATTGTATTTGATTACTAGCCTACGGCTTTTATGCAAAATGTGGCTTATGCATATTATTTATAATGCATTTATTTGTAATAGCCATTTCTTCAAAATGAGAGGAATAATTGTGTTTGTATGGAAAGACTGTAAGACTATTTGTATTATATAATTTAGAGGGTAAAGTGTAAAACCAAGTTCATTTCATAAAAATTTATGTCGATTCTAAATAACAAAATTAAAAAGAAATAACATTTATTTATCTACAGTAATGTTTTTGATCATTTATGCATTGTTAAACCTACTCAGCTTGATATTCTGTATATTTTTGTACATTGGGTGGAATTCTTAAACAGAGTGGGACACGTAACAGTAATAATTGTAATAAAAAATGTTTCAAATACAAGTCGTATTTTTTATAAAAACTATTACTTTAGAAGAAATCGAACTGATTCCAATTATGTGTCCCATTTTGTGTAACTTTCGCGAGATATGAATGATAAGAGATTTCAATCCCGGCAATTTTCATAAGCCCACAGTCGTCTTTACCTTAGGAACTCGGCGAAGTACACACATACAAGGTACATATATATATATATATATATATTTATAAGGTAGTAATTACGTCTCCTTTGAGGAGGTCTGTTCCCTCGTTAAACCGTACCTCAATCAGTAGGTTTCAACCACAGCCACAGACACCCCAGCGTTGTAAGTTACTATCTTTAACCGCTAATACGTACTATGACCTGTGACTACGTACTTCCCTTGACGACTATTCCTACTTCTTATATACTGCCCGGTATTTCCATAAAGTCACTGTATTATTTAATGGAATTTCTGACAATTTCTACTTAGCCTGTAGTTCAAAGCAAATGAACATTTTTATAGATGCGAGTCTATCGAAAGTTCAACTATTTAAGATATTCAGGGTGCATCTGAATGCAGCAGGGAAGCTATTTGAAATTATGTATATGTATAGGATTTTCAAGCTAATTACTGAATAGTTCAAAACAAAGTTTTATTAAGCTAGAATTATTATGCATGACATGACAGTCTCATTACTAGATTACGGATTTAATACACTGGATAAATTCATATTATCTATGGAAAATAAAGCAAATACTTTGATCGAAAGTGTGACTGAACTGTTAAAAAAAAACAAGGGAAAAACAAATGTTCGATCAAGATATTTCGTTTTATCCATTTTAGAACTATGTTTGCTTGAGGAGAAAGAGGGATTTTTACAGGCATTCACCATTGTAATGCGATCGTTTCGTCCCCTTCAATGTACAATTGGCTTTCGTCATAAAAAAATACCGTAAAAATCCGGTCCCTTTGAATCTGATTCTCTTTTACAACCGTTTTTATTATTTTTCAATCGTATGCTAATAACTTGTATATAGGTACGTATTATTCCTGTATCGAACAGGTTTTATTCGGAATCTCAAACGAATGCAATTTCACTATTTTATAATACCTATTAAATGCTGGAAATGGAAAGATGGTAGTAAATTACATTGTTAAATGGTTGCATGTTCTGCAACGCAAGTAAAACGGTAAGAATTTTATGTATTCGAATTCTAATTAAAAGGTATAGATACTGTATGTATGCAGATATTTTTCAGGGAAGATTACTGAATGAAAAACTTGATACTCGAATATTAGTTGGTACAAAGATAAAAGTATAATATTCTACGAGGAATATGATTTATAAAGCAGTGGCCAACGTGCTATGAATTAACCGAGCAAGGCACGAGAATGTGTGTTTTTTACCTTGCTTAAGCAACATTAATCTGTGCTAAAAAAAACGGCTTAGATAAAAAATGTCATAAACCTGCGCAAACTTTATGAAGTTCATACTGCCATTAAAAGGATGTTTCAACATGATATTTTTTTCTTCGTGTAAATTGTAATGAGCAAACACGACTACGCACAAGCATGATAACGTTGTACTCTTTTTCTTTTTAATAATAAATGGTAATATGAGTTTCGAGAGTTACATTAAACCTTAGTGTGTAAACGTGGGTAGCCCGTATCCAGATAAAACCTGCGTTGGAATATTGCTTTGTTTAGATGAAGACATCGTTGACATTTTATTTTTTCTGAAATGTTTCAATTGTTCTATAAAGTTAAGAGGTGAACAGCGGCGTTTTAATTTTTTTTTATAATTCTAACACATGGAGAAACTGTTCCTATTTGTGAATCTGTCCCAAAAAATGTACCTTTATATTTAACATAAATAAGTTCTGAAGAAAAATTAAAAACGAGAGCTTAAAGGATCAATTCAAATTAATTTAGAAATAGATGATTGAATATTTAATCCGTAAAGGGGCACTAATTGGGAGAGATTTAAAAATAAGAACAATTATTCTAGAGAAAACCAGTCGAATATAAACGAGTCATTTTCACAGAATTAGGATACCGAAAAAAGCACTTAAGTGTATCATTTACTTACATTGATCAGGTCCAACTTCTCGTCGTCCAACCTGCAACATAAAAAGAGCGACTTGTTTAAATAAATGCCACTAGTCCTAAATAAATGTGTATTTTTGTATAAAACCAGCCTAGGAAACTTGTGCCCGAAATATACAAGCGCCATGAGAAATCAGTCATTTGTATGCATTCGCTCGAAACTAGAACAGTGTGTCACGTGATACTCTCGTAAAACGAACGGCGTTAAAAACTCGCAGCCACGGGACACAAAGAGCTTTTAGTTTTTCGGAACAGAAGAAAAAGTGTGCGCGGCAGTGGTGAAACGCGTTTACCTCGAACATTCTGTCAGGAATATTTTTCAGCTGCCCGATAAAAGCGATTGCATACATACTTCATTAAGTATGTGGCGGGAGCTATTGTTTCCGTCATGCAACCATAAGTGTGTGAAACAACTTTGATTGCGCCAAGTAACGTATCGGACTGAAGTCGATGTACATGTTTTATAGATGTATTAGGCTAGCTGTACCTGTTATCATAGTTGCAACATTTTTCAGGTATTATGCAATGAAATTTTTATAAAGGCATTGTATTCTTCAATGAAATTAGACTGCAAATTTTTGTGTAAAGTAAAACATTTATGGTATCAATTTCAGAAAACGTTTCTTTTATCGTTTGCAATATGCACTCGTCCTTTAATAGTCTGTATTGTATTTCTGAATACGGTACAAATTTTTTATGTTTGATATAAATATAATTCTTCTATAAATTCACTATTTTTGACAGTTCTATATTAATCATTATTTTGTCAATGATGTCGTTTTAAGATTGATTATAGAAAACATATCTGTTTAATAATCATAATAGGAAAAATATTTATTTGAAAAAAATCTGAAAGAACATAACATAAAATAAAATGTAAAATTCCTATATACACGCTAGTGTCACACGCTACTTTATTATTTAATAATTCATTGATGAAGAAAGAAAATCATTTCCTAAAGTAATCATTACGATTCTTTTAAATTCATTACTCCCATTTTCTCTTCCATTATTACTAGCCTTTCTTTCGTCCGCCTTTCTATTATTTTTCTTAAGGTTCTCTTGTGTCTCGCGCTGGATGTCTTGCCTCAATTTTTTCTCACTCTCATATGCCGTCTTTCTATCTACGCTTTTTTTCCAGTTCACGTTCCTCATCATTCTCGGAACGACTCTTTCAGGCTCGTTGAACTTTTTGTGTTTCACGAGTGCTCTTCATCTCTTGAAACGAGGATAGACACGTATGTATGCATATACGTACGTATACCAGATTTTTATTTCACTCGGACGAACAATTCTACAGTTTTGATTAAGGCGGTAGTCCACAGAAAAAGACAATTTTCACGAATTGTTTACGTACAAAAAATTCATTCTTAACACGATTACATAACGAAAACAAAATTTTCATCACTGATTAATGGATATTCACTAAGTATGAAACTATCCTTTGAAAATGTATTCCACTGATTTTTCCCAGATACAGACTGTCCAAGTAAGGTCTATCAAATAAAGGTGGCTTACTGCTGTTTCAATTTAGTTTCAATCAATTAATTATAGATTGCGGATTTTATGCATTTACAGCAAAATTATTATACAGTAAACAAAATTATTAGAGTATCAATAGTAAAATGTATGCCACGATGTTTAAAAGATTAGAGGACATTTTTACTAAATATAATTTCTTAAATTGTTTTATTTTGCATAAAAATCGTATAACGTATTAATGTTACATAGTAATCTGCCGTTATTGATTCCCATGCGGGATACATTGACCAACGTCCGTTTGTTCACAATCTAAAAGAACAGAAATAACTGAAACAGTTTCAGCATTTCAGTAACATAGCGCACACAAACGCATAAATATAAAACCAAACGTAACAAATAATACTACAAAACAATATAATCAAACATTAACGTCGATACGTTTGATTCACACTATTGATGCTGTTCTCTTATTTTTACAAGGGTACTACTGTACAAGTCTACGTCTAGCACTTTTACATCTTTTCTTTTTTCTGCATCTCATTCTTGAGCTGCAGGAAAGTTTGATCGGGAGCCCGCGGGAGAGGTTGCGCGCGCAATTACAGTTTGTTTTTTTCCTCTCGTAGATCAAAGTACACAGCCGCGCTGGGTACACTAAAAGGTATGTAAATGGGGAAACGGGTGCGCTCCTTTCCTTGGGGACACGTGAATGAAGTGACATGCTTTTGCGCACGGTCCACTCCGCACGGCGAGAAAGTTGCCGAGTGGTAACTATTGAAAAGACCAGACGCGAGGAAAGTTGTTTTTAAAAGAACACGCCGGGGTTTGCATAGCCCCACGGGGATGAAGAATCGCATCGTAAAAACAGCGGAGTGCCAGTTGGAAAACAACAACGCGAAACGCTACTATGTGCCGTGCCGTTCCGACCGAAACGATTCAAGTAGTATAGGTAAGTGCACTCTCGGCTGAGAGTCGCGGCGATTCTATTCTACACCAATAGAGATGACGTGCGAAATTACTATCAGTGATTTATCATTGTAGTCAACGAGACGAAATAATGAATGTGTATAAGAAACGGTTACTGTGATTCACGATGAAGATATAAGCATGAAACTGCCTTCATATTATTCAATCTTTTCTTGTAAAGCTCATACAGTATTAGAGTGTTTAAGGGGATAGACTCCGGTAGCGGCGCGATAGGGCAGGCTGTCAATATTGGCCAAAAATATTTGGGTTTACGTTATTCGATTCTACGTCTTTATTTTCTGGAGAATAAAGACAAAATTCATTTTAATATTTAGTTTGAGGTATATTCTAGAACTATTTCTCTCGCACGTATGAAGAAAATACAAAGTATGGCTATCACTAAGGATTGGACACACCAACTTCACACACTCTTATTTATTGAGGAAAGAAGATGAACCTATGTGCAGAAGATGTAATGCATCAAATTCTATATCGCACGTCACTGTTCGCGTACAAAATGAAAACAGTCTGTCCAATATCAGTAACAATTTTAGAGACACATCTGTGAACTCATGTCAAGGTGTTAAAGTTCTTAAAACACATCGGAATTTATCAATTGTTATAAAATACCATTTAATTGTATATAATTTTATTTAATTTTGCTAAGCAAAATAAGGGTAGTTTTTTTGAAAATAATTAATAAGCTAAATTCCTTATTTCAGCTTCTTTTTGCCAAGAATTTAACTATATAAATCTCTCTTTTTATCTATTTTAGTTTACTTTACGTGAAGTTGTCCTATCCTACATTATCTTTATTTCTCCTTCCATACATTATATTTCTGTATTTTTTTTAATGCCCTGCGTATTCTACTGCACTTCCTTTTCTTCCTCCTCAGTTCTATGTATCATTCTGTCACTTCTTTTTTGCTTTCCTCTGCTACTATATCCTGTGCTTTCAGTTTTGTTATATTTATTATTTTGTATTCATTTATTAGGTATTTTATTGTTCCTACACCTCTCTTTACATATCACACATTTCCTCTTTTCCTCATCTACCAAATACCTATCGACGTCTTCCACATTTCCGCATCTTGCCCTTGTCCTTCAAGAAATTATTAATATTTAACTACAATTTAGCCGACTATTTCAAGCAATGCATAATTAATCTAATAACTCTTGGAGTTTTCTGACTTTAGTACAAAAAATGATAATTTTTCTACTGTAAATGTGACTTGTCGGTCTCGATGACTTCATACGCATCGAAGGAATACTGTATCCACATTTCCGTATCTTCCGACCGCGAGCAATGATTAGATCGTCGCGCGATCGATGAAATTTCACAACGCGAAGATGTGTAGAATTGTACATACGTAGAGCGGCTGTAGCTCAGCCATGAGTTATGGCATGAGTCAGTACGAGAACCTGGGGACGGTTGTTAGTGGTTAATTATACGGCGGGATTAGCTTGGTTGGATTAGCTCGGTGCTACCACAAACCAACCCCTATAATTTTCTGGAGTTCAAATTCGAGCATAAAGCGAGCCACCGTGCGTAGAGATACTAGACAAGATGAGGGCGAGGATCGCCAGCGGATGTTTTCATCGTACCGTGTTTCAATCATCTGCATATCGAGCTACTGTTATGTTATACAACCAAGTTATGTACATTTTGAGTTCTACGATGATTGTATATATTTCATTAACTTATAAATTTATTCAGGCTTTCAATGTTAAAATGAGAACAGGATAAAATAGATTATATCATATAATCTGGATAAAATATTAATTATTATTGCAAAAGTTCAAAAAATCTGATACGATTCGTTTCTCTATTTCCGTCTAAAGGAATATGCTAGTTCCACTCCATTAAACTGCAGAATTTTATATAACACTAAAACGAACTTCCCAAATTTCTTTTAAATTTTGCATGAGTTTAATATAATTACTTGTTCCTAAAATTTCTCTTCCTCTCTCTTTTCCTTTCTGTCTCTCTCTCTCTCTTTGATCCGTGTGTCACTTTTAGCTTGTGGCTAGAACAATCTTAATTCACGTTGACGTTGATGGCGGGTTATGCTTTTCTCGACTGTGTAAAATTACGTCCTGGGATTATGCGGAACGTTACCTTTCGTCCTATATCTGAAAAGAGCAATCTCTGGTTGCCAGTGACATTGCTGTATAACGCGACATCTCGCGCGGAGATATCGGGAAAAGTTTTGGCAGCGGATATCAAGTAGAACAGTGGACCGGTTGGATAGGGCGTGCGCGCCCGATTCTGGCTGAAATACGTCCAGGAAACAACGGCTGCTCGTATAAGTTTAATCCTAAGCGCAATATAGCGTTCTTCGAGATCTTTTTCTTTACATTTCTCTTCCTACCTTCTCCTCTGTTACTCTCCTTCCACCTGTTAGCCTTCGTTCTGTGTCCACTTTTTACTCCATTCTTTTACTTTCCTCGTCATCCACTTTCTGCAAAATCCAATAAAGCGTTCGGACCCTCTACTCACCCCCTGTTCTTTCCTTAATTTCTTCATAACGAAATAGACTTGTATTATTGGACTTCCTAATAATTCTTAAACCAAATACGTTTAGTGTTCTTTATTGTCAATCCTCGGTAGATTGCACAAAATTACAAATACTATTATACTATAAAATATGTACAATTGTAGAACATGTCATTGTATTAACCGGATAATTATTATAG